CCGGCTTCGGGCCCCCGGCGGCCGCGTTGGTTCCCTCCGTCGCGGGCGTGCGGTGGTGGTGCGGCTCGGCCGGTGGCGGTCCGGCGACCTGTTGGTGGTGGCCGGCGGCGCACGTGGTGGTGGTGCTTCCACTTGGCGGCTCTCTGTGCGGGGAGGCAGGGGAGCGGCTTGGACAGGGGCGGCGGCGTCGACGGCGTGCCGGCTGCAACGCGAAGGCGGGAACTTTACGGGCCTAGGAGATCCCGGCCGGGCCTGTGCGGCCACGGGCCTGGTATGTTCCTGCTATTGCGTCCGGTCAGCTACCGTCGAGACGGTGGAGGTGGGGCCCTCCCGCGTGCCGACGGTGCTGCTGCCCTAGTCCTGGCTCCTCTCCTTCTTTGTGCGGACCATGCTTCACGGTGCCGTGGGGAGACGACGTGAGAAGCTTCGTGACCGGGTTGGCGCAGGGTGAGGGTCTGTTTGGTGGCGAGCTCTGGAGTGCCTGAGGTGGTGGTTGGGGTCGGGAGAAATCTCTGTTGGCTTGGCCGACACTGACGCGGTGGCGCTTGTGGGTACCGCCTGACCTTCCTGAAGGGCGTCGGGGCTACCCTTCCTCTCTCCTCACAGCGTACCGGGGGAAACCCTTGGCAGCAGCGTCGTCATCGTCGCGGTCCTTCTTGGAGGTGTTGATTGGTACCGGCGCTTCGGAAGCTCGGAGCTTGGTGGGCGATCTCCCGTGGGCGCAGCGGCCTCGAGGCTTCTTCGTTTTTTGTCGATCCGCCATTGTTGGCATTTGTTTCTTTTGTATTTTCTCTTTCTTTCCTTTTGGGCGTGACTGTGCTGCTTCCGCCCCAGCACCTATCGTTGGATGTTTGGTTGGTTGCTTTGTATACAAAGCGGGGGGAAACCCTTTTTCGGTAATGCTTGGACGGAGACATTTGGTTCCCGGGTCCTTACATGTGAAAAAAAGTGTTTACACAAAAAAGTCAAATTTTGAAAATTTATCGAAATAAACTTGGCCTACTATTGTATTCATATAAAAAAATTGACCAAGGAAAAAATTCCATGGTATTTCTTGTGAAAAAACAAAATCAACACTATAAGGTTACTATTCATACTTTTTATCCTTGAGATTTTTTTTTGCCTGAAGTCGATAGGAACTTTTTTCCTTTGCGAAACTTCTTTTTACCGCAGTAGAAACGTGAAAGCCCACATACACTCACCACTCTGAACACACACCCTATTGCTATGAGTACTTTCAAGATACTGAGTTGGCACAACATCTTGAGAATGACAAAGTCACCATAGGCGTCTTCGTACTCGACAGGAACATCCCCTCCCACTGAACAAATATCGCCGGAAGCCTGAAATAAGTTCAAGAAAATGCAAGCAGCAGTGCCATGTCTAAGACATGAATCCCGGTGGGTTGGTTCGACAACAAGGAACCTAACCATCTGAGCTCGCTCAGTTTGCCTAAACGTTTTATACGAGTACAACAGAAGGTCAAGTTCATTTCAAAAAATTCCATGGTATTTCTTGTGAAAATTTATCGAAATAAGCTTGGCCTTCTATTGTATTCGTATAAAAATTTGACCAAGGAAAAAATTCCATGGTATTTCTTGTGAAAAAGCAAAATCAACACTATGAGGTTACTATTCATACTTTTTATCCTTGAGATTTTTTTTTGCATCAAGTCAACTGGATTTTTTTTCCTTGGCAAAACTTCTTTTTACCACAGTAGGAACGTGGAAGCCCACATACACTCAACATTATGGACACACACCCTACCGCTACGAGGATCTCCGAGATACTGAGTCGGCACAACATTTTGAGATTGACGAAGTCACCACAAGCATCTTCGTAATCGACAGGAATATCCCGCCCACTAAACAAACATCACCGGAAGCTTGAAATAAGTTCAAGAAAATGCGAGCATCATAGCCAAGTCTAAGATATGAATCGTGGTGGGTTGGTTCCACAACAAGGAACCAAACCATCTGAGCTGGCTCAGTTTGCCTAAACTTTTTATACGATTACAACAGAAGGTCAAGTTTATTTCAAAAAAAGCTTTGGAATTTTTTGACTTTTTCGTAAATTTGTAAAATATCGGGCCGGGTGTATATACAGCCGAGTGCCATGGGGTATTTTTCCGCGAACGCTCTCTATATATAATGGGGTACCGTTACCTAGCATTGATCAGATTAGCGAGCAAAGCAACAACGGCAACGCCTAGCTAGCTAGCATTAGCAATGGCAGACGAGGTAGTAGCGCGAGAAATGGAGGAGGAGCCGTGGGTGAAGCTTATCCAGGAGTCCCTTACCGTGAAGGACGAGGAAGAAGACGTAGACATCCACGTTTCCGTGTTCGACGTGCCCAGGCAGCTGCAGGTGCACAAGCCGGAGGCCTACTGCCCCCAGTTCATCGGCCTGGGCCCCTACCACCACCGGCACCCCGAGCTGTACGGCATGGAGCGGTACAAGATCGACGCCGCCCGGCGCGCGCTCAGGCGCCTCCTCCGCGCAGCAGCTGCGCCCAGCGTCGACGTCCTCGAGGAGCTGGTCGACGAGCTCGAGCGCCACGACCTCACGGTCCGCGCCCATTACCACCGCTACCTCGAGCTGAGCAAGAAGGCGCTCTCGCTGATGATGATCATGGACGGCGCCTTCCTGCTCGAGTTCCTCACCATCCACCACCACCACGCTGTTGCCGAGGGTGAGGAGGGGGGCTCTTCGATTTGGACCAAGAGGATGGCGCACCTCGTGGACTTGGGCGGGAGCGGGACCGGGAGGAAGTCCGCGCACGGCCTCATTCTCCGCGACATGCTCATGCTCGAGAACCAGATCCCGCTCTTCGTCCTCACCATGATCAAGGCCAAGTGCTCGTCGGTATCAGTCGACGAGGCAAGCAGGCGGCTCACTCTCATGGTAGCAGGCCTCATGAAGGAGCTTTGCCCGTTTAAGATGGAGGGCAACTTCCCCGAGACCTCATGCGACGTCACCAAGCACGCACACTTGCTTGAGCTGCTCTACCAACTGGTGGTGCCGGCGGTGCCCACGTCCACCGACACTACTGAGAACGCACACACCACCCCGCCGTTTTCCGGCCACATCGTGGAGATGCCGGAACAGGAAAGCCAGGAGGAGAAACCTTCCGCCTGCACCGGCAACGAGCACGCGATGATGCAACTGTTCGAGTTCATCGCGTTGAAGCTCAAGGGTGGTCGCCTTGGCAAGGTGATGAAGCCGATCGAGCTTGTGGTCAAGGCGCCGTGGAACAAGCTTGCCGGTATACCCGGTATGAATGTCGAGTCCTTCATGCACGCCGACGCCAACCAGCAGGAGATCACGATCCCATCGGTGTCGGAGCTGGTTAGCTCCGGTGTTAAGTTTGTGCCGACCTACGGCGATCTGTCTACTGCGTCAACTATCGCCTTCAACCGCAAGACAGCGACGCTCTACCTCCCCGCGGTGACCCTAGACGGCAACACGGAAGTGGTGCTCCGAAACCTGGTCGCCTACGAGTCATCCGCCGCGTCAGGCCCGCTGGTGCTCACGCGGTACACGGAGCTCATGAACGGCATCATCGACACCGACGACGACGTGGCGCTGCTCCGCAAGCGGCACGTCGTGCTCAACCACATGAAGAAGAGGGACGGCGAGGCGGCCAAGCTGTGGAACGGCATGAGCCGGTCGGTGCAGCACTGCAGGGTGCCAACCTTGGACAAGGTGATCGAGGAGGTGAACCGCTACTACGACGGTCGGTGGAGTGTCAAGACGAAGCGGTTCATGCGCAAGTACGTTCTCAGCTCATGGAAGATGCTCACCTTCCTCGCCACCATTAGCATGCTGCTGCTCACCACGGTGCAGGCCTTCTGCTCTGTCTACACATGCTCCCGATGGTGGTTCGGTGACCTGGTCGCCGTCGTGCCGTCGGAGTCGGAGTAGATCGATACACGCGTGCGTTTCTTGATCACGCGAAGTATGTGACATGATGCTCAAGCTTTTGGTTTGTCTGCATCTACGGTTTTCGGTTTTGCGATAGGTAGCGAGACCATGGGCCACCTCTCCCTACATCCGCCATTTCAGCGAGAGGAGGGGACGGGAACCCTAGTGCTTCCCACCGGTAGGAATAGGCTTAGGGTTTGGTCTCTGGTCGTTGAAGACGATACAATGACGTCGCCATTGACATGGAATAAGTCCTCCCCACCTCATCCTCGTTCTGGAGGTGCTTCATGTTGTTGTCGGGAGGTGTGTGGAGGGCGATGTGTTGCCAGATCTGGTTGCTGGTGTCTGGCTTTCGTGTGCATGTATGTCTCGCTAGCGTTGTCCCTCGGAGTGGATGGCGTGATTGTGCATCTTGCTCCTCCGGCTCTAGTTTCGATTGAAGAAGGTTGGCTAGCCTTGGCTTCATCGAGGAGCTTTTGAGGTTTATATCCCCCAGCTCCATCTGCCTGGATCTGGGATGTTCTTCCTCGTTCCGGCGGTGCTTCATGTTGTTGCCGGGAGGTGTGTGGAGGGTGATGTGTTCCCAAATCTGGTTGCCGGTGTCTAGTTTTTCGTTTTTCGTGTGCATGTTTGTCTCGCTAGCGTTGTCCCCCGGAGCGGATGGCGTGATTGCGCATCTTGCTTCTCCAGTTTCAATTGAAGAAGGTTGGCTAGCCTCAGTTTGAGGTTTGTATCCCCCAAGCTCCATTTGCCCGGATCTAGGACGTTCTCAAGGCCCTTCCTGGAGTGGCAATTTACGCTGCACATTGCAGCCACCAAAATTTTCTAGTCAACATCAAGGGCTTCCCGACCACTGAAATAATGTTATTCATGATTTCGTGAGGCAGCGTCAAGCTCTGCTCATGGCATGTCGCCGACATATGCAAGGAAGAAGGGATCAGAACCTACATGGACTTGGATATATTTTCCATTTTCTTGAAGGATGTTCTTGTAATGGTTTGTTCTACTTAATATATGGCATTTGGCATTTCTGCAAAAACTATTCCCTTCTCAACTTATTAGGATATTAACTTCAGTTTTGTGATAAAACATTACCATGGATTAGGCCTTCAGGGATTTGGCCTCCAGTGACGAGACAACCAATGCCCATCACCAAGGCTGGACATGGGTCGACTAGAGCCAAGCATTGTCAACTTTTAAGTGAGGGCACGATTAAATGCCCGGGGTTCCTCTGTCTCCCGAAGGCGCTGCTGCTAGTCCGCCTCGTCTTCGGTGGCCTAGGGCCATTGGTTGCGCGAGGTAGACCCTGGCCCTTGCCAGCGGGAGGCCTATGTTTTTTTATGTTCCTTCGAGTTGTGTTAGGGTTTGTGTCCTGCTCACGAAGACAAGACAACGGCGACTTCCTGAAGATGGAATAAGGTTCTCCCCGCCTAGCCCCCGTCCTGATGGTGTGTCTAGCATCGTCGGTGCGCATGTGGAGGTGTGTCTCGGGCGGATCTGTCCTTGATAGATTTGCTTAGTTCTGGTCGTACTCCGTCTATGTTCGTAGACCTCATTGTTAGAAATATACCTCCATAGAGGGGATGCTCGGGCTTATCGGGATTGGACCATGTGGTGAAGCATCACGTGGATTACATCGACTAAAGTGACACCCTCGCCGATGAGGAATTTCGCCCACTTTTGAGGCGCCACGACCTCCTCCTTTCCCTAGTCATGGTTCTTTTCCGTCCAGGAGTGCAACCTCTTCAAGGGGGCGCTCGAGAAGGCAGGAACTCCCTCCTTATCCCCAGATGACACGTCGGCCATGTACTCCTCCTGCCAGAGCTTCACTGTCTCGATGAATTTGCCCGACAGACACTTGACATTGTGGAGCTTGCTGACCATGGCTCCTCCACACCATTATCTGACTGTCGTTGGATTGTCTTCAAGTTGGATCCTTCTGATCTACGCTACTCTTCATCGGCGGTGGTTGTTTTTCCGCGGCGCTGGTTCTATGGGGTCTTAACACGACGACTTCCCGACTATCTACTACAACAAGTTTTACCCTGCTCCGGCGAGGGAGGGGCGAGGACGGCAACACGCATTCGACTCGCTTAAGCACTTGTAGTCATCGCTAGATGATCTATAGATCTGGATGTAATTTTTATTATTTTTGATTCCATGATTGAAGATGAACAAAATAAAGTTTTCTCGCAAAGAAAAGGGCGCGTGAATTGCAAGCCCAACCATGGAGGAATGGTTGTCCTGGACTCTCAAGACCAAGGCGCCCTCTACCCGATGACTGTTGTTTAGTCTACTGGGCCTTACCCAAGAGAGTTCCTCATCAGCGCCTATAGCACCGACTCACAACCAGCGCACTCACGCGGATGGGTAGCAGGTCAAAAGTTTTTTGGAACGAAGGCTCAAGGGGAGCCCGACTTTGAATTAACAAAGCCATCAACCGGCCAGGAATAACACAAGGCCATCGTTACAACCACTAAACAACTGTGAAAAGCCGCACAAAAGAACAGGAAAAAAAACAGCAGATACAAAGTGTTGCTGAAGCAGTTTACAAGCACCAAAGACTAAGCCCTACAGGGATAAGCAAAGTAAGCACTAGCAAGAAGTCGATGGCGTCCACCTAGTGAAGTAGATCAAGCTGAGCAAAGCGGAGGGGTTCTTCATACGGAGACAAAGTCCAGCGATGGTCACGTCCTCATCTACACCGGAAGGTGACACCTTGTTCGCTCCACTCCTCTCCAAAGTCCAGCGAAGCAGGTCAAAAGTTGAAAGCATATTTTGATTGAAAGCAAAATACATGCTTCTAATACTTCGCTTAACTTCTCAGATGCATTTTGTCTTCTGTACCAAGTCATCTAGGATCACTTTGGTTTGCATCCACAACTTGATGCCTCGGAAAAAATATGTGCCTGGACTGAGCCTAGAGAGGTGATGCTTTTCTGCAGCCTCACATACGATGGCAGTGTTTTGTCCACGCCTAGCATGGCATATTATTATGTGCATACATCGAAAGTACGGTTCTACACCCAGGAGCAAATGCTCCTGGAGTGAACAGTAAAATCAGAAAAATAGAAAAAAAAAATCAAAATTTCTAAAAAAAAAATGTGACGTTCACAAGTGTTTCTTGTGCATGAAAATTTTCATCACGAAATCACATTCGTGGAAGTCGTGCCGAAAAAACAAAATCAGAGCTCCAAAATGCTTTTGTAAGTAACATTTTTAGAGCATCGATTTTTTTTACCACACCTTCCACCAATGTGATTTCGCGATGAAATTTTACGTGCACAATAAACATTTGTATAAGTATGCCACAAAAAAATCAGAATTTTTTGACATTTTTTTTATTTTTATTTTATTTTACTGTTCACGCTTGGCCAGCAAAAGGGTCTCTCAGTCATGCTGAATTGGGCACGCCTAGATAGGGTGCACGGACGCAGCCATGCTCGCACCGACTCTAAAAAAATGTGCGGAACTTCAAAATTTATTTAAATTTTCAAAAAAATTTCAGACTAGTTTAGACTTTCAAAAATGTTCAGAATTTTAGAATTGTTGGGATTTTCAAAAAAGTTCAAAAATTAAACAAAAAATGTTCAAAATTTCAAATTTTGTTTAAATTTTCGAAGTGTTCAGAATTTCCCGAATTCTTTAAATTTACAAAAACTGTCCAGAATTTCATATTTTGTTTACATTTTCCAAAAAAGAGAGTGCCAACATGTTTTTGAATACCCAAAAAATGTTCAACTTTTGTTTAAATTTCAAAACATGTTCAGAATTTCAAAATGTGTTTATATTTTCAAAAAAAGGAATTACAGAATGTTCTAAAATTTTCAAAAGTTGTTCAGTCAGAATTTTAAATTTTGTTAAATTTTTGTAAAATGTTCAGAATTACAAATTTTGTTTAAATTTTTGAGAAAAATGTAATTCCAAAATTTGTTTAATTAAAAAAAGGCATCAGAATGTGTTTAAGTTTTTGTTCGTGTTTTTCAAATTTTGTTCACCATTTGAAAATATCGGAATTTGAAATTGCTCAGCATGTCTAAAGCATGCAGGCTACCAAAGACTCAGCATGTCTCACTACCAAACAACAGTAAATGCATGCACTCGGCATGTAAAGGAGAACAACAATGCTATGGTGGGAACTGCTACATACACGCCTCCCAGCCAGGCTCGTACAGGCATCTCCAGGCTCCTAACCAAACAACATCCATGCAGCTTCACGGGAAGACTACCAGGCACAAAGCGCTCAGGCGGTCAGGCCAGAAGTATCGGATGAAAATATTTGACATGAATGTTTAAAATGATACACCCTCCATTCAACAATGTAGTGTGGCCGCGCTTCCCGAAATCTAACTTTGATCATAAATTTAACCAATGAGATCAACTGCGACGGAAATAAAAATTATACCACTGAATTCGTATTTGATCATAAATTTAACCAATGAGACCAACTGCGGCGGGAGCAAAAATTATACCACTGAATTCGTATCCAAATACGAATTCAGCAGTATAATTTTTGTTTCCGCCGCAATCGCTCTCGTTGGTTAAACTTTCGGTCAAACTTAAATCTCGGGATGCGTAAGCACACTACATTGTGAAACGGAGGGAGTATAACATTAGCTAGCACTTCCAAAGATCCTAAAACTCTAGTTTGTGTTCAAGCAAAGAAGAAAACATGTCAGAAGGTAAGTTAAATGCTAGAAAAAGGAAATTAGATGAGCTGGCGTCAAGAACATTCAAATACTCGAGGCTGCTAGCATAAATAATTATAGCAGAAAAATAGTAGTAGTGACTCACCTTGATTAAGATCTTTTACTTCCACTTTGATAAAATATATACATCCACCGCTTGGCCAGCTATTGATTCCTTTTCAATTGGTAAGAAAAAATATTTTGTTGAGAATAAAGTGCATACAGCAAATTGCAAAAGGAGATATGACAGTAGAGGGAACA